ACTGGGAATTGAGAGTCGAGATTTATGGTGAGAATAGGGTTGATACAGGACTATATTGAGGCAAAAGCGCGTTCCTGTATCTTGAGCCGTTTAGGAGATACCGAAGGTTACATTTTTAAATTTTAAGTTAATTTTAATTGAAATTTGAATTTAAATGTTCATATCTCCGCTTCTACTGGGAATTGAGAGTCGAGATTTATGGTGAGAATAGGGTTGATACAGGACTATATTGAGGCAAAAGCGCGTTCCTGTATCTTGAGCCGTTTAGGAGATACCGAAGGTTACATTTTTAAATTTTAAGTTAATTTTAATTGAAATTTGAATTTAAATGTTCATATCTCCGCTTCTACTGGGAATTGAGAGTCGAGATTTATGGTGAGAATAGGGTTGATACAGGACTATATTGAGGCAAAAGCGCGTTCCTGTATCTTGAGCCGTTTAGGAGATACCGAAGGTTACATTTTTAAATTTTAAGTTAATTTTAATTGAAATTTGAATTTAAATGTTCATATCTCCGCTTCTACTGGGAATTGAGAGTCGAGATTTATGGTGAGAATAGGGTTGATACAGGACTATATTGAGGCAAAAGCGCGTTCCTGTATCTTGAGCCGTTTAGGAGATACCGAAGGTTACATTTTTAAATTTTAAGTTAATTTTAATTGAAATTTGAATTTAAATGTTCATATCTCCGCTTCTACTGGGAATTGAGAGTCGAGATTTATGGTGAGAATAGGGTTGATACAGGACTATATTGAGGCAAAAGCGCGTTCCTGTATCTTGAGCCGTTTAGGAGATACCGAAGGTTACATTTTTAAATTTTAAGTTAATTTTAATTGAAATTTGAATTTAAATGTTCATATCTCCGCTTCTACTGGGAATTGAGAGTCGAGATTTATGGTGAGAATAGGGTTGATACAGGACTATATTGAGGCAAAAGCGCGTTCCTGTATCTTGAGCCGTTTAGGAGATACCGAAGTTACATTTTTAAATTTTAAGTTAATTTTAATTGAAATTTGAATTTAAATGTTCATATCTCCGCTTCTACTGGGAATTGAGAGTCGAGATTTATGGTGAGAATAGGGTTGATACAGGACTATATTGAGGCAAAAGCGCGTTCCTGTATCTTGAGCCGTTTAGGAGATACCGAAGGTTACATTTTTAAAATTTTAAGTTAATTTTAATTGAAATTTGAATTTAAATGTTCATATCTCCGCTTCTACTGGGAATTGAGAGTCGAGATTTATGGTGAGAATAGGGTTGATACAGGACTATATTGAGGCGAAAGTGCGTTCCTGTATCTTGAGCCATTTAGGAGATACCGAAGGTTACATTTTTAAATTTTAAGTTAATTTTAATTGAAATTTGAATTTAAATGTTCATATCTCCGCTTCTACTGGGAATTGAGAGTCGAGATTTATGGTGAGAATAGGGTTGATACAGGACTATATTGAGGCAAAAGCGCGTTCCTGTATCTTGAGCCGTTTTGGAGATACCGAAGGTTACATTTTTAAATTTTAAGTTAATTTTAATTGAAATTGAATTTAAATGTTCATATCTCCGCTTCTACTGGGAATTGAGAGTCGAGATTTATGGTGAGAATAGGGTTGATACAGGACTATATTGAGGCAAAAGTGCGTTCCTGTATCTTGAGCCCTTTAGGAGATACCGAAGGTTACATTTTTAAATTTTAAGTTAATTTTAATTGAAATTTGAATTTAAATGTTCATATCTCCGCTTCTACTGGGAATTGAGAGTCGAGATTTATGGTGAGAATAGGGTTGATACAGGACTATATTGAGGCAAAAGCGCGTTCCTGTATCTTGAGCCGTTTAGGAGATACCGAAGGTTACATTTTTAAATTTTAAGTTAATTTTAATTGAAATTTGAATTAAAATGTTCATATCTCCGCTTCTACTGGGAATTGAGAGTCGAGATTTATGGTGAGAATAGGGTTGATACAGGACTATATTGAGGCAAAAGCGCGTTCCTGTATCTTGAGCCGTTTAGGAGATACCGAAGGTTACATTTTTAAATTTTAAGTTAATTTTAATTGAAATTTGAATTTAAATGTTCATATCTCCGCTTCTACTGGGAATTGAGAGTCGAGATTTATGGTGAGAATAGGGCTGATACAGGACTATATTGAGGCAAAAGCGCGTTCCTGTATCTTGAGCCGTTTAGGAGATACCGAAGGTTACATTTCTAAATTTTAAGTTAATTTTAATTGAAATTTGAATTTAAATGTTCATATCTCCGCTTCTACTGGGAATTGAGAGTCGAGATTTATGGTGAGAATAGGGTTGATACAGGACTATATTGAGGCGAAAGCGCGTTCCTGTATCTTGAGCCGTTTAGGAGATACCGAAGGTTACATTTTTAAATTTTAAGTTAATTTTAATTGAAATTTGAATTTAAATGTTCATATCTCCGCTTCTACTGGGAATTGAGAGTCGAGATTTATGGTGAGAATGGGGTTGATACAGGACTATATTGAGGCAAAAGCGCGTTCTTGTATCTTGAGCCGTTTAGGAGATACCGAAGGTTACATTTTTAAATTTTAAGTTAATTTTAATTGAAATTTGAATTTAAATGTTCATATCTCCGCTTCTACTGGGAATTGAGAGTCGAGATTTATGGTGAGAATAGGGTTGCTACAGGACTATATTGAGGCAAAAGCGCGTTCCTGTATCTTGAGCCGTTTAGGAGACACCGAAGGTTACATTTTTAAATTTTAAGTTAATTTTAATTGAAATTTGAATTTAAATGTTCATATCTCCGCTTCTACTGGGAATTGAGAGTCGAGATTTATGGTGAGAATAGGGTTGATACAGGACTATATTGAGGCAAAAGCGCGTTCCTGTATCTTGAGCCGTTTAGGAGATACCGAAGGTTACATTTTTAAATTTTAAGTTAATTTTAATTGAAATTTGAATTTAAATGTTCATATCTCCGCTTCTACTGGGAATTGAGAGTCGAGATTTATGGTGAGAATAGGGTTGACACAGGACTATATTGAGGCAAAAGCGCGTTCCTGTATCTTGAGCCGTTTAGGAGATACCGAAGGTTACATTTTTAAATTTTAAGTTAATTTTAATGGAAATTTGAATTTAAATGTTCATATCTCCGCTTCTACTGGGAATTGAGAGTCGAGATTTATGGTGAGAATAGGGTTGATACAGGACTATATTGAGGCAAAAGCGCGTTCCTGTATCTTGAGCCGTTTAGGAGATACCGAAGGTTACATTTTTTAATTTTAAGTTAATTTTAATTGAAATTTGAATTTAAATGTTCATATCTCCGCTTCTACTGGGAATTGAGAGTCGAGATTTATGGTGAGAATAGGGTTGATACAGGACTATATTGAGGCAAAAGCGCGTTCCTGTATCTTGAGCCGTTTAGGAGATACCGAAGGTTACATTTTTAAATTTTACGTTAATTTTAATTGAAATTTGAATTTAAATGTTCATATCTCCGCTTCTACTGGGAATTGAGAGTCGAAATTTATGGTGGGGATAGGGTTGATACAGGACTATATTGAGGCAAAAGCGCGTTCCTGTATCTTGAGCCGTTTAGGTGATATCGAAGGTTACATTTTTAAATTTTACGTTAATTTAATTGAAATTTGAATTTAAATGTTCATATCTCCGCTTCTACTGGGAATTGAGAGTCGAAATTTATGGTGGGGATAGGGTTGATACAGGACTATATTGAGGCAAAAGCGCGTTCCTGTATCTTGAGCCGTTTAGGAGATACCGAAGTTACATTTTTTAATTTTAAGATTTCATAATTTACAGTTCGAAATTGCTGACCCATTCATTTGGTTTACAGAACAATGGCAAAGCGAACCTGCAATGCATATCAATGCGGTCACCGTTTCACACATTACCACACGTTAGAAAAATATAAGATGTAAAATGTTGATCTTTTTGTCATAAATATGTCCCTCAATGTCTAAAGATTCGTATAAACCGAATACCATTACAATAAATTACTCGGTTTCAAAACTACACTATTTAATATGACGCGATTCCTGTTTGCATATTTTTCCGAAAAAGGACCGCTGAGCTGTTGTAAAGCCCGTGTCGCACTACGGATTGAAGATCAAGGATTGCGGATTGAAGATTAGATTTCGACAAATCAACGAACTTCGGTTTCGATTTGCTTTATTCCGATTGGTCAAATTTCAATCTTCAATCCGCAATCCTTGATCTTCAATCCGTAGTATGACACGGGCTTAAGGTAGAGGCAATCCGCGAGATGGCTCCGAGTGCAAAGGCTTAAAGAAATAATAATACGCAAGGCACCGAGTTTCCGAGTCTGCCGTTTGCTGCCGAATTAAAAACCTATAAATTGAACGAGAGCCTACTTAAAATGCTAATTCCCATTTTTAGCACGGCACTTTTCAAAATCGACGGAGTTAGAATCGCGAGTTATATCACACCGCCCGTCTCTTCTCGTCATGTTTGAATGAAGAGGCAGAGATTAAGATTAAGATTAAGATTGAGGGTGTCAGCTTTCGGAACAGCCTACAAGCAGCAATCTAAGGCTGATTGTGAGTATAGCTGAACTGAAAAGGCGGCGCACGCAGGACGCGTCTCGGACAGGACGTCGCAGGCGCGGTGACGAGGACAACATCGATTACTCGCGATACGAAGCGCGCCGGGTTCCGGCTCGCGGTCGAAATACTAACGCGAGAAATCCATTAGCGATCATCTCTCTTCGGGGCGCACCCGCGGCTCGTAATAGCAGCGTGTAATAAGAAGTCGAGGCCCGAGTTTATGAACCCATCCATCCTCAGCGCTGTGTGATATTAGTCACACGTCGCGCGCGGATAATAATTATACGGACTCATACTTGACCAGGGGAGCGCTCGCCCTCTCGTATTCGCCCACTCCCTCTCTCTCCCCTCTCTCCTCTCTCCCTCTCTCCCTCTCTCTCTCTCTCTCGTTTCTCATGTGAGCGTTTCTCTCTTGCCCTCTGCACGAAAAATAGAGATCGAGGAGCTGGCCAAGCACGGCCCGATGCTACCCCCTGACATTATGGGTCTCACGGACGAGCAGGTCCAAGAGCTCAAACTCAAGGACGAATGGGCTGACAGGTGCGTGCCCATGGGCGGCTGGACTTTCAACAAAGACCAGATCGGTAGGTGAAGTAGAGTACGGAGAGTAATAACAGATTTTTTACGCGGGACGCGAGCGCCTTGTAATAATCGAAAATGACGTGTACCAGGCGAGGCAATAACTATTACCGCCGTGAGTGATCCTCCAAATATGAGAGTGGGAGAAAAATGTGTCTAACAGAAATTACACGTTGCAGGAACGGGGGGATCGTCCTACGGCGATACTCGCGCTTTTTTCTCTCGACGGCAATATATCTCAATGGCGGGATGTTTAAGGTGGTAATAGTTATCGCCTCGCCTTGTGCGTAACGCGAGGTCATTCGGGATAAGAAACGAGTACTAGCGCGATGTTTCATTAATCCTTTGACGCCTACTATGGTAATTATAGTTACCAGAAACGCATTTAAGAATCCACAACTTAATCAAAAAAGGAGATATTTTCGTTTTCTTTGCATCACTGTAAAGGTGAATTCTTCTTCGAAAAATAGTATATAGATTGGTATATATCATATAATAGATTGTATGTAGATTCGGTTTAGTCTGTTCTTAGTTCAGTTTTAATGATAACATGTTTTTGTCAAATTCCAAGTAGACATAGTTATAGCATTGTTACTGACATCTAGAAGTGCACTATAAATGAATAGATTGTATCTGTTATAATTTTATACATTTGGAAGTTTTCTCAGATGCAAAATGTGAAATTAAAAGAATACAGAAATTCAAAATGACGAATCCAATACGGTGGACACGAACATCAAGGAACCAACCTATTTTCGTGAAACCTGGTGACCTACAGTTTTTTTATGCAGCGAAAAATGAAGGACGATTGACTGTCTAAATGGTGATCTATAAGATATTCTTCTGAAATATTAAGCTTGACGCTCTGAATGATAAACTTCACTCACGAATATAGTAAAGTTTCAGCTCAACAAATGTCAAGCTGACTTTCAGAGTTATGTCGTATAGATTACCCTTCATTTTTCTCCGCATAGGTGCTCATTTCGTATATGCTTTTAGGATCCAAGTCATATCTACCAATAAACAAAAAACGAACGATAAAAAAACCAAACTAACGAAACCAACAAACGAAAAGCGGAAACTTCTGTACTCATTTATTATATCCCATTGCGGGTAAATAAAGATCAGGTTCTGAATATGAGTTTTATGTTTCGAGGAATTTTTCCAACCATTAGTATGATATAAAATTATTAAAACTAAAAAAAGAAATTTAACCGATCAGGCGTATTTTTCGCTTCTGGGAGTAGTTTCTGCTTGGGAAGGTAGTTTTTCGTAGATATAAAATTCTGATATTTTCTTTTGTTATCACTACTTACAGTCTCAGTTCAAAAAAACTCAAATCTTATTCTTAAAACACTTATAAAAAAGTCTGGCGTTAAAGGGTTAACGTGACGCGTGGAGGAGGGTCACAAGCTTCAGTGCTCTTGTCCGCAGGTCGTAGGAACGGCAGGCAGCCCAACGAGAAGATGCAGGAAGTGCTGAAGAGAACCATCGAAGACGCGCGTGCTATGACGTCAAAAGTAAATGCAACTCAATCCGTTACATTTCGTGTTTCTTGCTTTTTTTTCTCTCAACAACGCACTCTCAATTCGTGCATCCTCGTGACACTCCTTTGCTTGCTCCGCAGAAATTAGTGCAGCAGGAGAAGCTGGTCACACAGAAGACGGTCCAAGAGGCTCTGGACATACTAAGAGGTGCTGTGACGATTGTTTATCCGATGGGGCTTCCGCCGCACGATGTGATACGTCAGGAATTTGAGAATACTGAGGATCTCTCCGGCACTCAGGCGTCCCTCGAGGTATACATGTGTCTAAAAATTGGACTCACGTTAGAAAAAGAAGCCTGATATATTTTCACAAGTGCAAAGATTTCCAAAGACATTTTGACTTATCGAGCGCTTTTTAAACGTCTGAAGAATTACACTTCTTCGCTCCGAAATATGCAGAGATATATACAGTCTGTTCAACAAGAAAACGTTGGTGATAATCTGAAAAGAATAAAGGATAAAGTCAAGTGATTTTTTTTAAACGAAAATAGAAGATTTTTAGTAATGCGCAATTACCTAATAGTTGATCCAGACGCTTTCATTATCAATTATTGCTTGGCACCGTTTTTGCATATTTTTGACCAGATTTTCAGCGTGTTCTGGTAAAGAACGCCATATTGTTTTTATTTTTATGCACAGTTGCTTAAAAGTGAAGACACGCTTTCCTTTAAGTTTCATCTTAAGGTATGACCACACCATATTTTCGATGAGATTTGCGTCTGGAGAGAATACCGACCAATCCATCATACGTAGTTATGTCATTTTTTAACTTTTCTGACAGCAGTGGTTTTTTCGTGGTGGACCGAAATGTGGCGATGCCGCATCATTTTTATGCAGGCGGCTTCTGATTATTAAGCGAGTATTAAGCTGAGTATTAAGCGAGATATGTTGACCTTTTGGCGGAGTTTTACTTGGGCCTAACGCAGGGTGAGACTGGGATTCGTTTGAAAAAGACACAAGATCGCTTTGTTCTCCTTCGGAGTCGTTGTATGAGACAGCACCCTTCCTGGCAGGTCGTCAACATTTCCAGCAGTTTTAAATCTATTTACTCACTTCCTTACGAAAGCCTCTGACTTTCTAATTGCTCTAGCAGTTGTCGCGATTGTTAATTTTGCAGTTGTTAATTTTGGTCCTTTAGTCCTTTAGAATGGTTAATAAGAAAACCCGCCTCCTGACGCTTCAAATATTTTACATTTATTTTTAAAAATAATGTTTACTTTTAATGACTACTCGATGCAACTTTTTGATGTATACTGCGCAAAAGAAGTTAGATTCAAGATTCAAACGGTATAAGGTAGATGGTGCTACTATGATTTTCTACAAAAATATCACCAACGCTTTCTTGTTGAACAGACTGTAAAAGAAACGCAAGCTTCTTTCAAATATTTACGTTACTCGCGAAGGTATGAAGTCGCAGATTGCGAGGATCGACGACATCGTCGACGCTTGAGAATACACTCACCTTTCGCAGGTAATCGACGAGCAACTGGCTCAGCTGTGGTTTTCCGGCAAGGAGTTAACACCGGGGAAGAAGATGAAGGATTTCCTCGGTAATAACGAGAAGACCAAGATAATCGCGAAGCTGCAGAAGAGAGGATCCGGTAGACCGGCGAGGGAGCCGTTAATGTCGGAAGACGAGCGGAAACAATTGATGTTGCACGCGTATCGCCGTCAGGAACAGCTCAAGGTAAGTGGCTTTGCATGCGCGCCGATTAGGAATGGGCGATGCTGGAATCGGCGTCCGAATAAACGATTCAGAAAATTTGATCTCTCCGTAAGTCTCCGTTAATATCTGCTAAATTATCATTACTAATAATATTCAATGAGGCGTTTGTATGTAAATTTATTACAAGAGATCAAGAGAGACTCCCTCTCTTCTTCTCTCTCGTCCGCGTTACTTGAAAATGAGAGGTCCTTCAGTTCGTCCTCGGTTCAGTCGTACTATTCGAAACGAAAAATCGTTGTCCGGCTTGCCATCGAGTTGTACTACGGCCTTGGTTTGGCGGTAGAAACAACGCAGGCTCCCAGAGTGGAAATTATCCAGCTAATTTGGTGATTTGATTATTTTGTCGAGTGATCGAAATAATCCGTCGGCCATTTTCTCCGGTCGGATCGTATTCGCGTGAGTGTCCAGTGAATCATCGCACATATTCTGTCTTGAATTGAAGTTACGTGATTAATACGTTGCTCATTAAACTTAAGGATAAAAATTAAATGAGAATATTGCGATTATCCAGTATGAAATACGAATTTTTCGATAAATACTTCTTCATGGAGCTTCGAGAGCTTCGAGGAAACGACGGTAAGTAGATATTGCGACATCGAGGTAGAGTCAAAAACCTGTTTGCATCTCGATATTCTCAATTAATCCTTTGAGTTGGATAGTATTTTGTAGGATTAAGGTACAATCGAAATCTCGACTCACGTTTTAGCTGAGGAATTTGCACTTTGAGGTGATCGAATCCGCTGAAACGTAACGAACAATTTACCGCCATCAAGCGGTAGTCGCGAAAAGACCCGTCTAGCGGGTTTGAATCTACGGCAGTAGATACAGCAGTGCTAGTACGGCCCAACGGCGGATCAGAGGGATTTCATTTCCGAACAGTATAATTCAACGATACGACAAGCTTCTCTCTAATAGCGTCGGTCGGAAAAATGTTCGTCTCCGTTTACCAACAAGCAATAAATTCTCTTCACTCGACAAAAATTTAAATATTATTGAAGGACAAAAATCCGCTGCAAGGAGCAACATCCGAAACAAGTTCGAAGACGATTGAAACAATTGATCTGCAGTTCCACATGTCCTGTAAAGTTTTTAGCAACGACAGTTAATAACATCACATTGGCGAAAGATTATTGACAACGGATCTAATAAGTAGAATTTATTAAAAATATCAAACAGATCTTTCGACGAAAGAGAAAGAGAGGGCGAAAACCGATTCACCAATTCCGCATCGCTCATTTCTTGCATCATCGATGAGGATTTCCACCTCATTGATTGATTCGTTCAAGGGACTTAGTATGCTTCTAATTATCTCACGGAAAGCAGAATGTAGGCAGTCGAGAAAGTATGCGTCAATGTGCTTCGCAAACTTGATCAACGAGAGGTGGTCTCGCGTTCGAAAGCGACGCGCTCTGCTTTACCGTCGAATACTCGTTTGAAAATCGATAGGCACTCGCGAGTGACAAACAGAGAGAAAGAATAATATGAGAACCTTCTCGATGATGCGGTCATTCTCCCTCGTTCGACAGAAACTATTTCCAACTATTTCGCTCGACGCGCGTATATCGCGGGGACGTATATTTCGGAAGAATTACAAAACGGATCGATTCGACTAGCCGCGAGGCGCTCCGGAGCGAGAACGCGCCTCTAAGTCCTTCCCATTGATCCACGTGCTTAGAAAAAGATAGTACATGCTTATCGATTGCACGCGTGTCCTCTGCACGCCCTGTTCAAGGTAGGGTCGCTCATTTCAGAAACAGTCGGCGCGGTTGTTTAAGCCGATACGGATCTTTCGGGCCATCTTACGCCGACACGTGCCTTCTTCGCCTGCATATTTTCTCTCGCGCCGGCCGAATAATCCCGGCCGCCTCCCAAGCGTTAGACGAATGTGCACGCTATTTTGCCGTTCGGCAATCTAAACGCGATCACACTTGGAGACGACACATTATTTAGGAGACAATACATTAGACGAAAGGGAAAAAACACGTTGCGCGACGTGATATCTATTTTGGGGGCGCAACGTGAAAGCAAAGTTTCCACAGATGAGAGAATTTCCATAAGCTATTTCCACAGTCTTTTTCTTAACGTCGAGAGAGTTTTTGTGGGGTGCACGAATATCTCTCTCTCTCTCTCTCTCTCTCTCTCTCTCTCTCCCTCTCTCTCTCTCTCTCTCTCAAATAGCAACAGGTTTACATCGGTCTTTGAAAAATTTCACCCGCTCGGATGGTCAAAGTGGTATTTCGCCGAAGGTTAGCCGACCAAATTGCCTGGCAAAGATTTCCCTTTGCTTCTTTTCCCGTCATTTTTTTTTTTGAAGAAACTACAAACCTGATCAGGCGCGTAAAAAGTATCTTGTGGTAAAAGTTGATAAGACTCAGGGGATGCAGAGAGTGCGCAGTCTATCTGACAAAGACTACCGGATTTCTCTTCTATTTCACTAGAAAAATATGAAAAGATGAATAATTGAATGAATATATTTGTACAATAAAACATCCAACTGCATATTTTCGTTGATTTTAATCGATTATATTTCTGTGGTGTGGTTGGACCGAGTCTCCAGTCTTCAATATCGACTGGAAATTTTCGCTCGACGACTCGAAACGGAGAATTCAGTTTATGTGAATGAGAAATCATCGGAGTCCGAGTGACTCAGCGATCAGCCTATTTTTCGGGTGAAATATCGAAATTAAAAGAAATCAGCAAATAACCCGATCACGCTGCCGCGTATTCGCAGTATCAGGAGAAATGTCACCCACCACCATTTAGCCTCTACGGACGCTAGCAATTCCTTGTTTTATCGAAGTTATCGATCACGCGTCGCTCGACAGAATAGAGACTAACGCGCCGTTTCATTAGTCCGCGAGAGTAATTGCTTGCGAATAATTTGTGTGCGAGCGTCTGCCCTGAAAAGAAAGGCGTATTCTCATTAGGCATCTTCAGTTTGTCTCGCCACGTGGGAAATTGCGTCTGATGAATCTTTATTGGATGTCTGTTTGTCTCCCTCGGAAAACCAAAGCGGATATACGCCTTATATGGCACGACCAGCATTCGTCGGTCAGGTTTTCCCTCGCCGAGGAATGAAAGTCAAATTTCTCTACCGCGTCGTTCCGGTCTCTCGATGGAATTTCTCTGGAATTTCTCGTAAATTTTCGAAGACTCCGGAGGACTCTCTCGATGGTTTTCCGATCGTTATACCCACTGAAAGGAAATACGTTTACGGCGTCACAGGCGACGCGATAAGCACGATCCACTTTCCCGGCGCGTTGTACTTCACGGTTACGCAGAAAACAAATGTCATTTGCAACATTTCACACGAATATAACTTGTTGTCGCGTACAAACGTAACAAGCGGCACGTGCAACGTGTTGATATCGAACCGGCAATTTTCCAGCGATGAATTAATAACCAGAGATGAAAGGACGTGTTTTTTATTCTTACGTATTTACGAGCCGCGGCAGTCCCATGAGCCGAATAATTTCCCTTTTGTTCTTCGTGACGCGCGATTCTCTCGTGATCGTATCGTGATCGTTCGCCGATCAGCCGTGACCTGTGATACGCGGTCGAGTGACCGATGTCTCGGTTAAAAGCTTCCGTTACTTACGTCGCGTGTACTTTACTTTCGTCTAAGGCTCGCCACTAAATCGTATCGAGCAGCAAACATTGCGCGATCGTGTCGATGCCTAAATGAGAGACATCTCTCGTCCCTCGTATCTCGTTTCTTAATTTCACTGTCCCGTTTAATGTAAAGTTTACGATGCCGTTCAATTCCATGAATTCTGTTAATATTACGATAATGTTCACAATGTTGGCCCAGCGTACTCGTCATAAACAGCCATTTT